GTCCCTGTGCTTTGCCAAGCTTGTTTCAAGTAGGTGCTTTAGACCACTGAGCCATCTCTCCAGCCCCTAAATACATAAATTTTTAAAAAATTTTAAAAAGAAGAAATTTTAAAAATGAATATAAATAAAAATTATTTTAAACCACAGCTTTAGGACACAGAACTAAGCTTTTTCTCTTCTTCCAGAAAAAATTTCTAAGCACCCTAAAAACAAGCCTGTGCCCCACACTCAGGGCCTGTGCCTTTCGCTTTTCACCTGTACTGGGCCCCCTCCTGCCAACCTTGCCAACCCCCATGCCCAGAAGCCACTGATAATATTTTGGAGACAGGGTCTCACTATTGTAGCTCGAACTCATGGCGATCCTCCTGCCTCAGCCTCCCAGGCGCTGAGATCACAGGTGTGCGCCACCACACTAGGAGGGAAGCCTCTATTGTGAGAACAGATCTCAAGCTCACACACACTGTTTGCATTGTAGCAAAGTGGGGACACAGACAAACCCAAGGCACACCAGCAAACAACGGTGTAGAGGCCCATAATAAGGGTACACAGCTCGAGGCCTCGGTGGCCTCTCTGCTGCAGGGCCCGCGTTCTCTCATTTCGAATGTACCTTTCCATTTCTTTCTAATAAACCTCTGTGTACTTCTTAAACAAATCCTTTTTCTTCAGTGGAAGTCAGAGAACTTGCATCCTGCCTGAGGGAGGGGAGAGTGAGGGTCCCGACCTCCACCTTGGGGACCTTCTTGGACCCTGTCTGGTAACACTGCCTTCATCTCCCCCTCTGCTGTTTTTGGGGGCCTCTCCCCAGAAGTGACCTTTGAGTAGGGGCAGCCTGAGCACAGGGGAGCCAGGAGGGAGCCAGGGCAGCGCTGCCCAAGGCTGTCAGGAAGAAGGCGGAGAGGGGGCTGCGGGATGAGGACAGGAGCTGCTGGAGCCTCATGATCCCAGTGGGCAGGGCGTTGGGTGTCCTGGTGTCTCGGGGCTTTTGGTCCCCTCTCTGTGCCTTGTTCTCACCTCTCTGTGCACATGTGCGCGCGCGCGCGCGCGTGTGTGTGTGTGCGTGTGTGTATGTGTGTGTGTGGTATTAGGGGACTGAACTCAGGGACTTTGCAGTGAGCCACATCCCCAGCCTTTCCAACTTTTTTTTGTTTTTGTTTTGAGACAGTGGCCCAGGCTCAACTTGACCTTGTGATCCTCCTGCCTGAGTCTCTGAGGGTACAGGGATCACAGGCATGGGCCACCACGCCTGGCTGGGCCACCCCCTGATGCTCATGTGGTCCCGCTCTAGGTCCATGTGTTCTTTGCCACCTGGCCTTGGGTCCACTTTCTTCCTGATCATGTTTCTCTTTAAAGACTCACCGGACCCCAAGTCCACTTTCCTCAGTGGTTTCTGCCTCTCCCTCTTTACTCATCCACATTTCTCTGCTTCATCTCCCCTGCCCTGCTGATGCTGCTTTAACGGTCCTAACACAGGAGAGGGGTTGCGGATGGAGGGGTGGCCCGCATGGGGCCCAGGTGCGCAGGCTGGGCAGGGCAGAAGAGGACATGCTGTGCAGCTGTGGAGGAAGGCCAGGCCCCTCCCTTAGTGAAGCTGCTGCCCCAAGTCACACGGCCCTCGAGTCCCGGCTAGGCAGAGTCAGGGTGGCACTGGCAGGGACCCTGTGGCTCGTTTCAAGCCTAGCCAGCTCCCATCACTCCTGTGGATCCCAGCCCTCCTTGGCCAAGCTGAAGGGCCACCCCCAGGGTGTCTGTGACGCCTGCACAGAAGGTCCCACTGGTGGCCAGGAAATGAAGAGTCCCCTGGTTAGGCAGGTGGATCTTATCAGCCTGAGGGACAAAAAGGGGGTCCACAGCAGCATGGGCTGCCACTTCAGGAAGGAAACAAAGACCTCAATCAATAGCAAACCTATAATCCTTTGTTATGTCGCAGAATGGAAGTGATAGGACAGAGCAGAGGCCTGGCAGGCGTTGTGTGCTTCCTCCTGCTACCTGGCTGTGCACACAGTGTGCCTGACTGCGGCAGCCCACGGCCCAGCGATACCAGGAAGGGCAATGCTCTTAAAAGACCCTCTTGCTGAGGGTTGAGGCCTGGTTTAAATTAAGTACTTCTCTTTTGTAAGTTTCTTACATGATTAGAGCTTTTGGAGGAAACTCAGAGCATCTGAAAAAGACAGGAAGAAATTCTGCAGCTCCTAAGTAACTTCTAAGAAAGATGTTGCTAAGCATCCTCAATGTTGATAAGTACTGCAGCTCCCCAAGCCTCAAGAGCAACTTTTGTGTGCATAAAATATACATCCAAACTCGCCTTCAGTGCAGGGGCCTTCTCTCTTGAAGGCCTGACTTTGTATCTACTTTATAATAAATTCTGCCTGTACTTCTGCAAAGCCCATGTGTCTTGACTGAATTCTTTCATCAGGGAGACAAAAAGACTGAGGACCAAGGCAGCGAGGGTCCGGTTCTGTGCTGCATCAGAACCTGGCTTCTGGTACCCGGGTGGGGTGGGGGCGGGCAGGGCTGGCCACCTGTGCTGGCACCATGCCCTGGAGACCGCAGGGGTTTTGGAACAAGTCTCAGTATTGGAAAGATCTTTCTTGGGCTTATGTGGGTGCTGAAAGCCCAGTGTGACCAGGTGGTGACCCCCGGAGCCGCTGAGGGTGGGGTCCTGTCCCCCTCATCTCTGACATCATGGTGACATTGTTACACCAGCCCTGGCTGACCAATAGGCTGCTGCTTGCTGTGATAATGGGGCCTAGCAACCAGGGCTGCTCCAGGCTAACAGGAGAGGACTCTCACCCGGGGAGAGAGTGAGGGGAGAGGGAGAGAGTGCAGGGGAGGTGAGTTCTCCAGCCCAGGGCTCTCTGCTGTGCCCCCCGGGGGCAGGGTGTGGGGGCAGAGTCAGGGCTTTCTGGAGATGCCAGTCCTGACCCATCCAGACCTAACTTCAGCCCCACAGCCACCATCTTGTCTGCCCTCCCTTTGCTGTAGGTCCTGTCTGGGCTCCCATCTGCCCTCCACAGGGCCCTGACATAAGGGGGCTTGGAGTCTGTGGAGCTCACTTATGGGGGTAGGAGGATCAGGTCTGGTGGCAACAAAGTAATAAGGACAAAGTTCTGGGCCTGGGTGGTGAGGGTGGGTGAGGGGATGGGCAGCCAAGGGGCATAGAGGGGAGGCAAATCATGTGGCTAGAAGGGCTGCAGCTCCCCAGTGGGGCCAAAGCACCCCAGGGCCTGAGTTTGGGTCTTGTCTGGGCCACTGTGCAAGAGATGACACTGGTCTCCTCAGAGCCTCAGGGCCTCTCTGTCAGGTGGGGATGGGATCCCTGACAGGAGCGTCTCTCCCAGCACTCTCTGAAGGTGGGTTTAGAGGTGATGGGCCAGAGAGAGTAGGAGTGCGGACAGGGAGAATCAGGTGGGAAGGGACCTAAGAGAGACCTTCACAAAGGCCCCAGGAGGTGGCAGAACAGGCCCAGGAGGCAAAGGTCAAGCTAGGCCGCCCACAGTAGGACTGGGTCAAATGGGAGGGACATCCAAAGCCCGGGCTTCTTCCACAGGCAGAACCAAGATCAGCCTCAAAGTTGGCCCAGGGTCCAGGATGGCCTCCAGAGAGGTGGACAGGACTCTCCCCTCACTGAGGCTGCTGAGGCAAGGACTTGCTCAGAGTCACATGGATGCTTAAGAATCTCAGTGCTCATTTTTTTTTTTTAGGCCTGGAGATTGAATTCAAGGCCTGGACACTAAGCTATATATATATCCCCAGCCCTTTATTAATTTTGAGCTGGGGTCTCACTAAGCTGCCAAATAGCACAGGGAATCTCAGCCAGTGCCTACAGCATAGTAAGTCAGGTGCTGGGTGCTTCTGAGCACAGGGCCCAGCAGTTACTGTCTCTCTCTCTCTCTCTCTCTCTCTCTCTCTCTCTCTCTCTCTCTCACACACACACACACACACACTTACCCATAAAGCTGGTTTCTTGGTTACGCCCCAGACCTGAGAGCACCTCAGGATGCTGTTTAGGCATCTGTGTGAAACCTGGAGACCCAACAGGCACAGAGAGGTGTTCATTCCGTCCTAGGACACACAGCGAGTTAGTGGTACAGATGAGACTTCAAGGCTAAGGTATCCAGTGTAGGCCGGGTTCCTAAGGAGTGGGCCATTGGGTCCTGGGGTAGGGGTCCCGCACATCCTTGATGCCCCTCTTTCTGCCCACACCAGGGCCCATTAGGTGTGCCAAGGGTTCCTTCTCCTCCGCAGACGCTGAGGATCACGCGTCCTGTGACTCTCCCTTGTCCCCTGCTGTGCTCTGAACCACAGGTCACCATGGCTACTTCCAAGTTGCCAGCCGTGCCTGGGGAGGAGAGCACCATCCTCATGGCCAAGGAGGAGCTGGAGGCCTTGCGCACAGCCTTCGAGTCTGGCGACATTCCCCAGGCCGCCTCCCGCCTGCGAGAGCTGCTGGCCTCCTCCGAGAGCATCCGGCTGGAGGTGGGCGTCACGGGCGAGTCGGGGGCCGGCAAGTCATCCCTCATCAATGCCCTGCGAGGCCTGGGGGCCGAGGACCCTGGCGCAGCCCTCACCGGCGTCGTGGAGACCACCATGCAGCCCTCGCCCTACCCGCACCCACAGTTTTCTGATGTGATGCTGTGGGACCTCCCAGGGGCCGGCTCTCCTGGCTGCCCGGCTGACAAGTACCTGAAGCAGGTGGACTTCAGCCGCTACGACTTCTTCCTGCTGGTGTCTCCCCGCCGCTGCGGGGCCGTGGAGACCCGCCTGGCCTCGGAGATCCTGCGCCAGGGCAAGAAGTTCTATTTCGTGCGTACCAAGGTGGACGAGGACCTGGCGGCCACTCGCAGCCAGCGGCCCTCGGGCTTCAGCGAGCCGGCTGTCCTGCACGAGATCCGAGACCACTGTGCCGAGCGGCTGCGGGCCGTCGGTGTGTCCGATCCCCGCATCTTCCTCGTGTCCAACCTCTCGCCGTCCCGCTACGACTTCCCAGCGCTCGTGTCCACCTGGGAGCACGACCTGCCTGCCCACCGGCGCCACGCTGGGCTGCTGTCGCTGCCCGATATCTCGCTGGAGGCCCTGCAAAAGAAGAAGGACATGCTGCAGGAGCAGGTGCTCAAGACGGCGCTGGTGTCCGGAGTCATCCAGGCCCTGCCCGTGCCCGGGCTGGCGGCCGCCTACGACGACGCGCTGCTCATCCGCTCGCTGCGCGGTTACCACCGCAGCTTCGGCCTGGATGACGACTCACTGGCCAAGCTGGCCGAACAGGTGGGCAAGCAGGCAGGCGACCTGCGCTCGGTCATTCGCTCCCCGCTGGCTAATGAGGTCTCGCCAGAAACCGTCCTACGGCTCTACTCGCAGTCGTCCGATGGCGCCATGAGGGTGGCCCGCGCTTTCGAGAGGGGCATCCCCGTGTTCGGCACGCTGGTGGCCGGGGGCATCAGCTTCGGCACGGTCTACACCATGCTCCAGGGTTGCCTCAATGAGCTGGCTGAGGATGCCCAGCGGGTCCGTATCAAGGCTCTGGAGGAGGACGAGCCCCAGCCAGAGATCAGCCTGGAGGCTGCTGGTGACAATGGCGTGGAAAAACGGGGATCTGGGGAGGGCGGCGGTGAGGAAGGTCAGCTCACCACCCGCCGGAAGCTTGGCCTCCTTCTCAAGTACGTGCTCGAGAGCTGGAAGAAACGCGACTTAACAGAAGAGAAATAAACGTGCAGGCTGCCCCCACCTCGCCCACAAACCAAGCCTTTACTGAAACGCTAAACCAAGCAGGGAACCAAACAAGGCCGATGTTATACAAATGATAACGCTGAGAGCCCAGTTGCTGAGAGGGGAAGGGCGGAGGAGGGGCAGGCACTGATGGTGGGAGGGAGGGGCAGAGGGTAAGAGCCCATGGGAGCTTTGGTGGGCTCTCGCATTTGATCCCCATGTGGCCAAGGGGATGGCACAGCCTCCTACCAAGACAGGAGACAAATATCAAGTGCTAGGAGTGCTCATGGCTGAGTGGTGACTGGGTCCTGCTAAGGACTTTAGTATTATTACTTGGACCCAGTATGAAACCCAGGGCCTCACCCTACCACTGAGCTACACAACCAGACCCTGGTACTTAAGTTTCAATCTCACCTCCCTTTCTGACAACTCCAATGTCCCAAAGTCCGCTTCTGGATAGGCAGCCAACGGGTACCTGGGATTGGCACAATGGTGCCTAGCAATTGCTGCCTGGGAGTGAGGGAGGGTGGGGTGGAGGGAAGGAGGAGGGACAAATGGTCCCGGGAGCCCCTCCGTGTGGAATGTGGGGGAGAGAGCATGAGTAGCCAGGTGAAGGTGAGCTGATGAGCATAGGTAGGGGTCAGTGTGGCATGTCCTGCAGAAAGACGGCAGACGCGTCTGTGTGGAGAGCGTTGGCTGTGCCTGGGACTGGGAGGAATCCTGTGTCAGTGTTTTTGGTTTTTTTTTTTTTTGTGTGTGTGTGGAATAGGGGATAAACTCAGGCCCTTGCTAGGGAAGTGCTTCCTCCCCTGAGCCATCTCCCTGGCCCCCTGCCTCAATTTTTGATGGGTGTAGTCTAGAGTTGCGAGTCTAGTGTCCCTGTGTCTGCATGGCTATACAGGTGTGGTTGAATGTGAAAAACCGAGGGTCTGAGGATGTGGACGACTGTATGTTCTAAATGTTGCCCATGGCTGTGACTGACACGGTATGTGCCACACGAGGGGTGAGGGTAGCTGTCAGGCCCAAGTGTCTCATTCAGACTGAACTCTGAGGTGCCTGGCATGTGCTTATGCGCATGTGCACACATGCACAAAGGTGGCTCAGATGCCCTGGCACCTGCCCACGCCTGAAATCCCACTTGCTGAGTGAAGGGTCACATGCGTAGTAGTAAACTACCAGAGGATGGGTGGGGCAGGACCAGGGTCATCCCAAGGACTTCTGTGGGCTCTGATGGGGGTCAGGGTAGGGCTGGGTTTAGGTGTAGTTGGACAGAGTAGTGGATGCCAGAGTGGGGCAGGACTGTGGGGAGAATTGCCCCTTTTGTTCTTGGTGGTACGGGGACTCAACTCTGGGCCTGTGCACTGAGCTACATATCCAGCCATCTGTCCTTTTATTACTTGAGATAGAATCTCACTAAGTCCCCAGGTTGTCTAAGCTGAGATTAGACAATTTGCCATCCTCCTGTCTCAGCCTCCTGGAGGGCTGGGAGTGCCGGCGTGCACCACCCTGCCTTGGTGGGGACCAACCATCCTGGGTAGTGAATCAAGAAGCTGCCACCAGGCCAAAGAGTCAGGAGGGCAGGGGCTTCTCCCAGGCTTGTGCTAATGCACTGCCCAGCATGGCCAGCTGGGAAAGGCCCAGAGGCATTTAAGAAAAAAGAAGTCTTGTTCCTGAGTGGGGATCCAGGGGTGCGTAAACTTGGCTGTGCCCGGTGAGGGCTCAGATTCATGCTCTTGGTGCTCGACTGGCAGGGGAAGGCTGTCAGGATCACTTTTTTTTTTTTTTTTTTGTTTTTGTTTGTTTGTCTTTTTAGGACAGGGTCTTGCTGCCCAGTTCAGGCTGCCCCTGAGCTCATTTTGTAGCCCAGGCTGGTCTCAAACTCACAACAGTCCTCCTGACTCATCCTCCCTGAGTGCTGGGATTACAGGCATGCAGCACCACACCAGGCAGGATCACTTTTAAGCTTCGGCAGCCTGGAGATGAGAACGTGACCTTGGGCTCCCTTCCCTAATAACTGGCCCCAGTGCCTCAAAGGCGGCATCCCCTGTGGTCTTAAGAAAGCAGTCCCTAGGGAGCTCTCTGTTCTCCACTATGTGGGGCTGAGGAGCAGGGCTGGGCCAGGGCCTGGTGGTGACACGATGGGGAGCCCTCCACGGTTCCTGGAGCTCAAGAAGGTCCCAGAGGTTCTGCATGAACAAGTGGGGGATGGGGACCGTGGGTGAGGGAGGTGTCACTCTTCCGTGCACACAGCTACTCCCTGAGGATTTCCAAGATCTGGCGGTGACTCTAGCCTCATTTTAAAGCCTCTAATTGCATGACTCTTGGAAACAGTCCTTTTGAACTCAGGCCCCTGTGCTTGCCAGACAAGCACTTATTCCACTGAGCCATCTCCTCAGCCCCTGGAAACAGTTCTTGACTGAGGGTCTACTTTGCCCTAGGGGATCATGCTTTGCGAAAGGACTTCCATCCAGCAGGCCCCTCCACAGGAGCTGCTGGGGGTACCTGAGGTTCATGTAAACGCCATCTGTGGGGAAATCCTGCCCCCCACAGATGGGGTTTCTTATTGTTCTGGTACTAAGTATTGATCTTAGGAACTTTGTACTAAGCTATACCTTCAGATTTTTTGAAAAAATTGAAACAGGGTCTAGCTAAATTTCTAAATTAGGAGCGCAGGATATATCTCAGGGGCATAAGCACCTGCCTGGCATGCGCAAGGTCCCAAGTACAATCCCTGGTACCAAGAAAAAAAATTACTAAATTATCCAGACTGGCTCGAACTTGTGATCCTCTCTTCCCAACCTCCCAGAGTGCTGGGATTACAGGTGTTTGTCACCTCACCTGCCTTGAACCCATGCTGCAAACCAGCCCACAGCCTCTGTGCTTGGACCACAGACATAACCCCAAAGAGCTCACCCTAGCCCCGAATGGGGCTGGGCTGGAGAGGTCAGAAATTCAGATGCTGGGGTTAGGAGAAACACTGCATTGCCACCTCTGTCCCTTTCACTTGCTAGGCCATTAGTCTCCATATCCTGTCAACCCCAGCCTCGTTCCAGCCTTCTGCTCCCCTCCCCCCATGCTGTCCCATTCCCCGAGGCCTCAGAAGGCTTTCTCCCCTGCCGCTGAGCCACTGTGGCTGCTCCCAGGCAATCAAGCTGCCCTGCTGCCTGAGCCTCTGTATAACAAAGCTGAGCCCTGCTGCTCTTCTGAGGAGTCATTCCATCCCACAAGAGGAAGTGGACTTCCACATTAGGGAGATAAAGCCCACAGCAGCGACTTCCCTGGGGCAGTCCCAGGACATCTGCACTGGCTGGCCCTGCCCGTCACACAATGAGGGCACCAGGGCCCTGCGAGGGACAAGGCCAGCCTAACTGCGCACCTCAGCTCCTGAGCAGGGCCAGGGCCATGGATGTGGGCAAGGTTTCCTGTTTTCATTCAGTGCTGGGACTGCAGTACACAGAGTTCTGGGCCTAGAGCGAGTATTTGACGTGTAACAATCTAGGGGTTTCACACAGTGAAAGAATCTGTGAGCTGGTCCATGCCCTCGCTCTGGAGCAGGTATTTAGTGAGTCGTTTCTACCTTCCTGGGCCTCCATTTCCTCCTGTGTGAAATGGGACTTAGTGAAATAGTGGCTTATGCAGAATGCGTGTGAACTATGACTGTCAGCAGTGCTGAAGGTCCCGGATCTCCATCACTGCTCTCATTGTTGGTTAGAGTGCTTGGGCCTAATAAATACCAACCCTCCCCAAACATTTAAGAGTTTAACTTCTAGGATCAGAAGACCTGGGTCCCATCCCTGACATCCTGTGTACCAGAAGGCCACCAGGTTCTCACTCCTCCTCCCAGTGCCGAACAGTGGGTCTGAGACCCTCCTTCCCAGGTGCCACGAGGCCAGGAGTGCTGGCAGTGATGAGTAACTGTTAACTGAAATAAAGCTCAGCCCGGCATATGGTTACTGTCTCGCTGAGCATTAGGGTTCACCACAGTCAGCTGCTGTGAATGGGTTAGATTCTGGGCCATCCTGGAGAAGAGGAACGAGCACGGGCTCTACCGCACGCTGCCGTGGGGAAGGGGCAGTTCTACTGTGGCCAAGGTGACAGGGCTCAACCAGCTTTCAAACAACTTATGTCAAGCCTAAGAACAGATGCTGAGGGAATAACATTGTCATTCAAGGAATTGGTCACTGGCACACAAAGGGATCTGAAGGGCAGCTCAGAGAAAAAGCATGCCCTTACCTTTTGTCAAAGATTGTCAAGTTCTTTAGACTGAGGACTGGGCTCCGGCAGCCTGCAGGAAGCAAAGCTCAGCTAAGCTGCTGCCAGCCCAAGACGCTGCTGCTGCTGCTCCTGCTGCGGCGGTTGCGGCTGCAGCTCCTGGAAGCCAGGCTCTGCAGGAGGCTGCATGGCAGGGGACCTGCCCTGGGTTGCAGACTGCACTTCCACTGCCAGAGGCAGGCTGGATCTGGATGCTGGCTGGGACTGCTTGGGCAAGCTGACCCCACCCCCCAGGGCCCAGGAGATAAGACCTCAGCTCCAATATCACAGGAGTGGGGGGCAGGACTGGACGCTGCCCTGCACCTGCTCCTCAGGCACCCCAAGGGCACCCTCTAGGGCCTTCTGGGTACAAGCACGCCCACCTGACCATCCCTGGCTGGTGCCCCTGGATGACTTCCTCATCCTCATGTCACAGTATTTTGCCACCACCCGGCCCAGCGGGCAGTGAAATTCTGCGGCAGGGCAGGCGCTCTGACTTCCTCCTTCAGGGTGGACCTGTGTATCAGTGCCCACTTGAGTCAGATGTAGAAGAGTGTGGAATGTCTGCCAGCATGCTGGAGACCCAGAGGATTTAGTGAGGGTCAGGAGCCCACAGCGCCGTCCCATGCAAGTCCACATCAGGAGGCCGAAGGACCCGCAATGGAAGAGCAAAAAATCTGCATCGGAAAGGCCCAAGGGCCAGTGCCGGATGCTGCAGGATCTGCGCTAGGAGGCTGAGGGATCTGCCCGGGAGGCCAGGAAGTGAGGTCCCACGTGAAGATGAGGATGGAAGCTCCCCCGAAGAAGA